TTTTATTTTAACTTACCTTGCACTCTTGAACATTATTGTGGAATTGGGGCAAAAAATAAGAAAGGGTTCCATTATAGAGATTTTCAAATGAAGGTTGCATTGTACTTTATAATTTTTTGGTAGCTAAGAAAGGTTCAAGTTCCCAGCATCCTGCTCGCTCATGTAAGGTGATTCTGGACATAGGGGACTCCATGGGAGATGGGGAGTACTGGATCGACCCTGAAAACAATGGAAGCCCTTTGAAGGTCTACTGTGACATGTCAACTGACGGAGGTGAGCGATAGATGTATTGTGTATTATTTTTCGGCCCGAGTTGAACGAGTAAGTGTTATGAAATGAACACTTCGTCCGGCCTGCTCTGACATCAACGGTTATTGGAAAGTGTTTAAGCATCTTAAACCAAATGACATCATGGCTCTTCAGACTAACGATATGTAGCAAACGCAAGGGAAAAGAAATTTTAAGTATCGACCTCCGCTTGCCTCTAAAACAACCTCTGTGCTTTCGTTCCCTCCTGTTATTTAGTAAGCGAATCTTTCGGGAAAAAATCGTTTTTCACTTTTCTAGTTTACGACTAATCATAAAAGTTTCTTTTCCTCACATGCTTTATCAAAACTCTTTTCCTCACTATCTATGAGCATAAATATATCGAAGGCGCCGGGGTTGTGACTACCCTAGGCCTGTATGTGCCCAACGAATGGCACATTTTTCAGATAGCAAATTCAGCGCCTTTTCCCCCTACGATGCCATCTTTTAAAATTTACATACTACAAACTAACGCTATTTTCCCACAAACTGAGCATATACCCGCAAAAACATATTGCTATTGTTCAAGACCGGAGGCGTAGACATTTCGGCGATGAGCAAAGTTGTAAGGAAGTTTTTGCTGTTTCAGGAGGCTGGCTTCTTGTTTCCAACCTTGTAATGGCCAGCTCAAGACGCAGTTCCGTTGCCTTGTTGTTTGAGAGGTCGTACCATGCTATCAGCAAGTATCATAAGAACAACATGTTGCTGGCAAAAACGGCCATGAATGAGCTCAGAACACACTTGAATTTCACTCAGCTGAGATTCCACTGCAGCAAACGATTGAACCGTAGGTTCCACGTAACCACAGCCCCCAATAGCTTTGGAGAAGCAGTGGTCCAGTACTTCAGCGGTCAGACAGATGTGCTTCCATACTCGTGTGAATCTTTTGTCAGAATGGAAGACGACGACTCAAAATTAGCCAATGTCTGCCAAAAGTGGTGGGCCGAGGGCACTAACACGCACAATGTTGGTACATGGAGCTCTTCTGATCGCAATGAGGACAGATTGTACGATCATGTTGTGCTCGTCTGGGGGACTTATCACTGGAATATTCAGCCATCGCAACAACGATTTGACTGCGACGATTTCGCACATGCAGTGTCTGCCGGTGATTTCTGGAAAATTTATGTACGTTAGATATTTTGGGTACATTCCCTGTATTCACAAGTCTTGACTCACACTAGTTAGTCTGATCTAACATCGATACAGAGCGTGCAGTTTTCAACTGAGCATCGAAAATGATCCTAGATTGCATTGGTTTTGCTCTAATTCGCTGTGTGATTAGTCCAGAAAACTCGCGCCCGCCACCATGTCAACCAATCAAATGCAAAACCAAGACCAATTCCAACTTGATCACTCGTGTTTTCCCGCGATTCGATTCAAGCAGGTTGCCTGTTTTATTTCGAGTTTTCATTGGTTAATGAAAATGTAACCTTTGATCATGATTGGTCGGGTGATTACTTTGGTTTGGTTTTTCAACACTCAATTGAAAGCTGCTTTATTAGTCATAAGAATTCATTTTGATCTCGCTGAGTTTTTCAAGTTTCCTCCGAATCGGTCTCTCAAGAATAGGTTACTAAGTCACTGAAAAGTGATCTAGTCTGATCGTCAGCCAAATATCACTGGCTTCTTTCACCAGGACAGAACAGGCTCGAACGCGATGATTAACGCCGCCATGTTTCTATAGGTGATCTCTAGAAGATATATGTACGTTGAGGACTCGATGACATATGAAGTTATTATTGTTGTCATAGACACAAAAATTAGATTCCCAAAGTTTCTTAACACGTTATACTTTTTGCGATAATTGTAGCTCAAAATACTTCATCAAATGCTTTGGTACATTATTGCTTTAATCTGATTTCAATAAGAATCAATGGTGATGACCAATCGGTTTCGATTGTAATGAGGGAAGGACACACTTCATAGCTTTCTGTCTTCCCTACTATGCCATTCAACATAAAGCCTTTGATTGAGGGAGAGTTCCAACTTCTGTCATCCGCGTCAGTGCTTTGATTTCTCGATCTAAATGGCTCCACCAAGTCACTCAGGAGTCTTTCAGAGGCCTGCGATAGAGGCGCCTTACCAGGGATAGGACGTATAAGCATTACACTAAACGAAACGCGAATTCGCCAATCCGATCAGTGCCTTCATATTAAAGAAAAGGAAAAGGCGATTAAGGAACCAGTCATTATTTGATGCCTGGGTGGGGTGGGAGAGGGAGGTGTGGGATCCGCGGGGGATCACATGGTTTTCAGGGGAATACAAGATGATCAGTAGTCACCGACAGAGAATTAAATAGACTATATAACTGCCACTT